GCGGCCGACTATAACGAAACAACCCGCTTCAACACCACCCTCATCTTCGTCATCATGTCTCGCCATGCAGGCAGTCGGCTGGATCCGATGTTCAAAGGCTCGAAAGTCATGCCACCAAACGCTGAAATGCTCCTGTGTCAGCCACTACCACTGGCCTCTGAATGCCGAAGGTCACAAGTTCGAAACTTTCTCAAGGCATTAGGCCCCCTCTTGAGAAGCTCAAACCCTGCCAATCGCTCCTTTCGAGATGTTAGATCCAGGTTCCAGCCACAAAATCTGGGACTCCCTGAAGCCGCTGCTGCAAAGCTTCTCGATTTTGGCGGCCATCAGCTTTTCTGAAGCCTCCAAGCTGCTTGTCAGCACCTCGGCACAAAGCCGAGCTGAAAGAAGGCTTGGCCAGGTGGCTCGGTCGTGGCTTCGCTGGAAGCAGGGTTGAGACAACGGAGCGAAAAGAGAGCCCTGCAACAGCTCTTCACCGTCATTGAGAGACAGCGCCATCTGCAGCCGTCGCATGGGGAAATGGGTGCCGAAGAAGCAGAGCCTGTGCGGTCGAGGCTCGAAACCGAAGGCCATAGCTTCAACTTGAAACTTCAACGCTGCAATTTGAATCGGCTCGCAAACCCTGCTTCAAACATCTGGCCTCAGCCCATCGCCTCGGCGCACGATGCTCGAACCCAGCAAGGCCTCCCGGAGCAGCTCAGGTGCCGAGTTTCGCAGCCTTGAAGTGTAGAACTTGACTGCACAGCAACTATGATCCGTAGATCCGCACCCTATGTTCCATATTTTTAAAGAGGGCTGTGCAGCTATGCCTGCCCCTCCACAAGAACGTAAAAGATCACAAACATGGAACCTGTGGCACACCACGTTATGAACACCTGACAAAGCTTCCAAAACCCTCCTGCCCGCTGCTCCACAGCAACAGGCGCCTTCTCCGGGTTCAGGGTGAAAGCACCATCGAGGCGCGTCTCCCCCTGCTCCACTTGAAAGAGCTCCTGGCAAGGAGCTGCGGGCCACTCGCCAAAGAACTGGGAAATCGATGGAGGTTCGATGTTTGCGGCTCCATATGCCCATGGAGACACCAGACTTCGGGATGCGAGCCGAGTCCTGCCGAAAACCAAGGACTGTCTTGACCTTGATGGGCCAGGGACTCTCCGTTCGCTTCGAGATCTGCTTATTAACTAAATCTGCCTGAGGTTGAGGTATGGCTGCGTGCTCAGCAGCCATGCAGCACGTCAACAGCTAAAGCTCTCCATCTACCTGTACCGTCATATGTATGTATGTGACGGCAGCGGTTCGAAGCAGGGAAAGACGGAAGGGGGGGCCAACACGAGGAGCTGCGTCGCAACAAGCTGGGACAGCATTTGTACCATCATAACTTTACCTAGTATCGACCCTACATAGAAAGAAGGAAGCTTGTTCCAAGCAACCTTAAGGAAAGTATACGTATCGTTCAAAAGTCCAAGTCGAAAAGCCTTTTGCACGGCCCCACCGATCCGTTGAGAAGAAATTGTGCTGGATGCTTGCAACAGTCTTGCAACCCGACATGCATCAAGAGAACGGGTACAACTTGGGACGGCCATCTGAGGCTGTGGCATTGCCAACGACACGCTGAACGAGCTTTTTCCTGCAGGCTGGTTGGGGTCTCTGAGAGGCTGGGACAAGCATCGACATTGCAACCTGATGCCGTCCTGCACCAGGAGAAAGGATTGTAGATCCTGCACCATCAGGCGGTTCTGTGCTGGGCACAGCATGACTGAGGCAGGAATCTGGGTGGGAGTTGGGAAAACAGTAGGGGCTGTGCAAGCAAGCTTCGAGGTAGTCTTCTTCCGCAAGGCATCACGGTGCACCAAGGTGTCCTGGTTTCGGCAGTGACAGGACAGGCAGAAACAATCGAAACCCAACAGGCCCATCATAACACCCCGACCCCAAACAGGACGCGCTCGCCAAGCATGATCCCAAACACACGAGATCCGCAGTGTCAAAGGACCCACACCCCTCGGACCTGCCACTCTTTCACTCCCAGGACAACGACAACGGCTCCTACTGGGCAACACTTCGCACACATAGTGCATTCAGCGACGTCGCTACCGCTAGAAGTATCTCGGTTCTGATGCGACTTGATCTTTCTGACTTTATTTTGTACAACAACACTCATACACTACCGTTGTATTCGTCACCGACATCATAATCGAAGCCATCGTTGCGGTCATTGTACAAATAGGTGTCGACGGGTGTGGTGGTAGGCGACATCATCGTCATGGGCATGGAAACACTCGCGGGCGCAACAGCCCCAACAGCAGCGACAAGAACTTCCCGCCGACGACGTCCTACCACGTCAGTTGAACGACTGAGGCGAGGGGCCAGGCCAGAGGCTGGAGGCTTCCGATGCCATGCCTCCAAGTGGGGCATTCGGAAGGGCGCAGATTTTAAGGCTTCTTCCTACAAGGCTGCTCAGGGGTTGGTCGTTCAGCATCCAAGCGAACCATACAATGGGTTTTTTTGGGCGGAGCTTTTTGCCCGGGCATTGTGGGATGTTTGCCGTGCGTAGCGCCACGAATCCGGCAGGTCTCTTGAAAGCATGTCGCCGCTTCTCTGAAGAGCAACGACGGCTAGAAAGCAAGATTGCACGGAGGACTGTGGCCCTAGCCTTCCCAGTTGAGGCTCATGCGGCCTAGGTGCTACAACAGCGGAGTGAACGAACGGCACTTGTTCTTTGACTAAGTAAGCGAAGGAGGAGCTAATGCCAAACCAACCTGAAAGAAATCAGAAGTCTGACACCTTGCCGGGACAGGCCTCCAGCTGTTCTTCGACGAAGCCCCGCATCTTAAATCGGGCCTGCCGCATGCAGTGGCGGTCCGGATGAGTTTGGTTAGCAGGGTTTTGCGACTGGCTTTCTGCGACCCGGGACTCGAAGCTTTGTTGACTCAGGGCATCAGTCGATCTGATCTTGGTGTCTTGGTGTTGGCTTCGCCCTGGACGGTTTGACCATTGGGGGCTTCGGACTCGCACTGGCCTGCGTCATTTTGTACGGGGCAGGGCTGCCGGCAGATCCGGCAGCAAGGCAGTCTTGGCACGGCCTTTGAAAGTTTAGACTCCTTCCCGGACGGATCGCCGCTTGCTCACGCTGTGCAGCTGCACCACGGCAAGTGTGTGCTGTATATTGCTATAGTACCCTTCCAATAACCCTTCCCACCTGTCCCCCCTGGCCTCCGTGAGCGCAACGAAGGCCAGGTCAACCGGAGCCCCGTCGCTAAAAGGCTGCTCTAAAAACTGTGCAAACCTCGGCGCTTTCGGGCTTCGAATGCGGTTTTTCGAGCAGGGACTCCTGCACCCGACCGCTATCTACTGCAGACTGATCGAAAGACACGTTCTGGGCTCCATGATCACCTGACCAGGAGGCCGTGGCCGTACGGTTGTGTCAGGTCTGTTATGACCGCTGCTGGCACACTTGGTTCGCACCGAGGCCTAATCAGATGCCTGTCCTACATGATACTGCTATACACATTGTGAGTATTCCCCTGACCTGCTCATGAGCAAAACTCTTCCGCGAGCTTGCCCTTCGCTCAAGAAGACAAAGCTCGCCACCTATCTCTCGAAACGACTGACGTCATGTCAGACCCCTCGTTACCTGAGCCTCTGCGGTATTTTCGAAAGCCAGGGCAATGAAAGACAAGAGGAGTTTTGTACTCCGGATGTGCAGCATCGGCTGCGGCTCGAGTCTGAGAGTTTGCCTGGCGGCTTGGCTGCCGAGACGCATGCCCACGAAGGGGTCCAGGGCCGCCTGTGACCGTGACACACCACGGTTATGATGACACGAATGCTCATCATGATTGCACTGGAAGCCGAGGGCCTAAAACGATCGACAAATGATATACCGGCTGCATCCACAAATGGAGCACCAAATCAACTGAACTGACTGCTTGCAAGCTCGAAGTGCTTGCAAGCTTAGCTGACTGTCTCGTCGTGAGCCCCGCTTGTTTGCCAAGCGTCGATGTTGGCCATGTTAAAGTTGAAGAAGCGCATACGAACGGCGGTCGGCTCGTGAAAACCTCGCAAGCAGGAGTGAAGCCCTGCCGGTCCCGAAAGCCCTGAACCTAAAACTGCATATCATGTCTGCAAGGCCGTGAGGGTAAAAACGTGCTGCATGCAGCTGAGTCACGCAACTCCACCTTGGCACCAGCAATGCTGGCATGGTGATTTTATTGCCTGTGACACCCCTGTTTAGGTTTTCAAAGCCCCGATTACGTGCCAAGTCGCGGGTGCCTCATCAGTACTGCTGTCTGCTGAGTCATCCTTAGCTTCGCCCAGCATTCGAAGCTTTGTTTAGTCAGCTAACAACAACCCATCCCAACAATCCGCTGAGGACCCCTCCTATGAACAGCATCCCACGCATCAGCAACCAAGGCACCGGGCAGGCGAGGTGGCCCATGCCTGTGGCTCGAAGGCTCGAAGAACTGGAGCACATTTGAGCACATAAGGCTTGACTGCTCGGCGCCTTGTGATGGGATCGCTGCCCTCGCAGGTGACAGCGTTACACATCCATGGCTGTGCCAACTACAGCGAGCTAGGCGTGGCAGCCACGGCTAGAACGAAGGCCTAGTGCGCTATGCTTGGCCACAGTGTGGGAGTGCCTGAAGGGCGTTTGTCATGCCCTGGGAGTCGACATGTGTCGACTTGTGTGTAGGGTTTGGACGGTTAGGACTGCAGGCCAACTTCCCCGTGATTCTACTCCCCATGATCATGACAACCTCTTCGTCCTGAGCCACAAGCGAGCCGTGAAGCATCTTATCCCTCTTTGCCTGCCTCAGCGTGGCAATCGCCGCACAAACAAAGGGGGCTATGACAAAGGATCGAAGAACCAAAGAAAACCAATGCACCACCAAAAACACCCTGCTCGCAATTGAACAAATACGTACTTTGTGTTGCACGCGGCCCACAACTTCAGGACGGCTTCGACATGTTGGACAACACTCTCGGAACTCCGAGAACAAACTTCGCACCTCAAGCTCTCCTGGGGTGCACCCACCGGCTCATCCAGCGGGCCTCGGTGTAGCACTTTTCTAAAAAAAAAACAGCGGCTCATCTGCTGTCGCGTCTGCGCCTCCCTCTCCACCACAGTTTTATTCCAAGTCTCGGTACTGCCAAGAACTGCTCCCACCTACTACTATAAGTACGGCTGCTACGACTAGCACTGCGACGATGATGAAGACGACAGTAGTGCTACTGCTACCCCTGCTACTACTACACCACTACCACTACAACAACCACTACCACTACCACCACCACGATGAGTACGACTCGACTACGGCTACTACTACTTCTACCACGGCTGCTGCTATTTCTACCACGACTACTAGTAGCTCCTGCTACTACTACCACTACCACTACCGCTACCACTGCCACTACCACTACCACTACCACTACCACTACCACCACCACTACTACTACTACTACTACTACGACGACGACGACTTCTACTACGACGACTACGATTACGACTTCCACTACTGCTACTACTACGCCGACAACTACTAGTACTACGACTAGTCTACCACTACCTCCTCTGCTTCTATTTCTACTTCTACTTCTACTGCCATTACTGCTGTGGCTGCTAGTGCTGCTACAACTGAATGCTGCTAAGACAACGACGACGACGACGAGCACCACGACTACTACGACCTCACGACAACACTACCACCACCATCACCGCACGACGAAAACGAGACGACAACACTTACAACATTGTATGGGTCGTCTTGGTCGTCGTGGTGCCCCGTGTACCTTTAAACAGAATGCAAGATCATCGCGACCACAATCAACATGGTCCAGCCTCATCATCGTCGTCATCATAATCTCGGTTGCCAATGAGTGGCAAAACCATCACCTCTATCATCACCATTGTTCACCAACATTAGGTGGCTAACGCACAATTGAAAAAGATGAAGTGTACACGGCATCGCCGTGTTGTGGAGACACGTGGAACTTGCAGAGTCCGATGTGAGAATGGAACTGGCAATACCGCTTCGAAGAACTCTAACAGACACTTCGAACTGTGTTTCGAAGCACTGCTTCGAAAGGACAGTTCGAACAACTTCCAAACGGAATCAAACGGATAATGGTAATGATGACTGTGAAGATGACGATAGTGAGTTCCTGAGGCAGATGCAGAAGGTGAAGTCGATGCGTGTGGTGATCATGAGGCTGATGATGATGCTGATGTTGATGCTAATGTTTGCACATGTTGATGATGGCGATGCTAAGGGTGTTGTTGTGGTGCTGTGGTTGGGTTTGCACCAGGTATCTGATGAGGGTGACCGTGGAGTCTGCATTGCACAGCACAACACAAACCCCGTCACCTCGGACTTCGTATGCTCTAGTGCGACTCGAAGTGGCAGATGACACGAAGCAGTCTTTATCGGACTTTTGCAAGCTTCACAGCATGCCAAGCAGAAGTTGAAGGAAAAACAAGAGCGAGATATGACCCCCCCATAGAAATGGCACAGGTCGTGGCAGCTGCATCCTGGAGGCGCACCAGCAGCCAGAGACCAGGCCTGGACGAGGCTCTTCTTGAAGTCTTCATTGCTTCTCGATAAGATGGGGGTTTCCGAAAATAGGGGACCCTAATATAGTACCCTAAATAATAGGATCCTTATTATAAGAACCCCAAAATAAGGTACCCCTAATTTTCGGAAACTCCCAGATGGTGGCTCAGGGTATTCAGTGCAATCATTGGGTTCAACCTGTAGCTGGGACTCCCTCTGGTGCACATTGAGATGTGGCTGTGCGTTTCGGTTCAGGGACTGAGGCTCACCGCTTGGACGTCATCCCCACAAACAGCAGAGATAGCTTGATCTTGTATCTTGGTGGCTTCAAGTTCGACTCTGGTACCGTGCATCATGATAGTAATCTGCTCTGTCTTCAATGCCATGTTCAATGAGGATCCATCTGCTGGCGACAGGTGACTCTGAAACGGGTTTCCTGCAGGCTTTGAGCTGTTCGCGGCTAAGACATCCGCAAAGCCCCACGTCGAACCGGATCTCGTGGCCTTTGTGATACAAGCCAAGTACTGAACATCCAAACCTTTCTCCGCCACGTGGCTCAAAAAACTTGAGTGTCTCCGGGTCAAACTCGAAGCAGTTTTCGTGTGGACAGCCTTGTGGCTCCAAGCGGGGGCAGCGCGCCCCAGCTTCTCACAGCGCTTCTGCACGAGCCTTGGGCTCTTGTCTAAAAAGTTCCTGCCTTCTTGCTGGCTTCAAAGCTGGCTTACGACTTCACCTGGCTCTTCAGCAGCTTCTGTCTTGCAGGCTGCTTCGTCCAAGCCCGTCTGCCGGAGACAGGTGTGAGGAGCAACGATTCACTGCTTCAGATTTTGAAAGCCAGAAATGCTGTCCAGCGGCTTGGAGAAGGAGCGAACGGCCGTCTTGACGTACAGGTTCTGCAGCAGCGCACAGACAAACACAGTTTGACTGGCTCAAGACCTCGCGTCCCCTCAGCTCGTGTCTGCACTGTCCCAAAACCCTGTTTCGCTGCTTTGACGACCAGCCTTCATGCTCAGCTGGGTCTCATAGTCCCACCTGGAATATCAAGTTCAAAAAAGAATGAAGCAGTGCATGCTCGTGCTGGCGGCTAAATCTAATACAGGCTGCCTTGAGGATAGCAAGCATCACGACAAACTCTTTGCATTCTCGACATGCTCTCATCTTGACCCAGAAATAGTAGCCCCTCCGTGCTGCTGTAAATAACCTGGGCTTGCGCTTGTCTCTTCTCGTCTTCTTGCCACTAGCCGCTCACTAGCCGTGCAAACTAATGGGGCAGATTTCGAAGTGCATGTTTTTGGTCGCGCTACAGCATTCCTACAAACTGGCACTGCCATCATTCACGATGCTCATCGTCTTGAGCCTCACCTTCGCCACTGTCGGCAGAAGTACTGATGAAGAAACAGTTCAGTGCCATGGGGGTATGCCGGAGAGCACAAGTACCATTAAGGTCATCGTCACCATCGCCACCGTCAGCATCATCGTCGTTCTTGTTTGAGCTTGGTTCTTGCCGCTGCTCTCACCGCAATGGTAGCTTCAAGCTCCAAATAATGAATGTACTAGCAGTTGCAGGAGTAGCAGTAGCAGCAGTAGTAAGTAGTCGTCGTCGTCGTCGTGGTAGTCCTGTCGTCGTAGTAAGAAGTAGCAGAAGCACCAGTAGCAGTAGTAGCAGCGAAAGAAGCAGCAGCAGCAGCAGAAGTAGTACGTAGTAGCAGTAGTAGTAGTAGTAGTAGTAGTAGCAGCAGGAGTAGTAGTAGTAGTAGTAGTCGTCGTCGTCGTCGTAGTAGTAGTAGTAGTAGTAGTAGTAGTGATGAGTAGTAGTGTTGTAGTAGTAGTAGGAGTAGTAGTTGTTGTTGTTGTTGTAGCAGTAGCAGTAGCAGTAGCAGTAGTAGCAGCAGGAGTAGTAGTAGTAGTAGTAGTAGTAGTAGTAGTAGCAGTAGTAGTAGTAGTAGTAGTAGTAGTAGTATTACAAATTGCTGCAGCAGCGGCAGCAGCAGCAGCAGCAGCAGGAGGAGGAGTAGTAGTAGTAGCACTAATAGTAGTATAAGTTGGTACAGCAGCGGCAGCAGCAGTAGTAGCAGTAGCAGTAGCAACAGCAGTAGCAGTAGCCGTAGCCGCAGCCGCAGCAGTAGCCCAGTAGCAGTAGCTGCATCAGGCTGCTGACAGAGTACCCTGATTAAATGCTCTGGCGCAACTCATACTGTGGCGGCTGGCACATCAGTAGTCCTCTACCTTAACTACGACAGCCCTTGCTTCCAGTGAGGAACAGTCCTTGACTTGAGGCTCCCGAATGACTCGTTTCCACTTTTTCTTGCTATGACCTCCGCCGATGCGTTGATGTCGTCGTGCGAGCTGCAGTGGCCAATATCCTCGACGTCCAAGTATTGGGGGCTCGAAGTACTGAGGCTCAGGTTCAGGAATCCCTGGAGGTTGTAGCTAGCTCAGGGCTGCCCAAGTACAACCGAAGCCACAAGCTCAAGCTCATGAACAGAGTGGCACATCAGCCCGGGTCCCAAGGGAAATGAAGACCCACTCGACGACGAGAACAGAGAAGGACGGAGCCTCCATCCTAGTGCGGCCACAGAAACTGAACATTCGCTTCTGTGGCTTTACGGTTGATCAAGGGGTACTGGAAAAAGCGAATACCGAATGCTAACTATTGTAGCTTCGGTCACTCTGGCAGATTCTCTGTGACAAGCTTCTGGGAGGCACAGACCCCTAAGAGCGCAAGTACCTAAAAATCACATACTCTACCAAATACTCACCTACAGAACGACTATTCTAAACCCAAATACCGAAGTATTGAGGCTTTGCGATAAGCCCAAATAAAGAGCCATCCTCCAGCCTCATGTGAATCCCCGGTAAGACTCAGGGCTTAGTGCTTATGACCATCGACCCCGAAACAAACATAGCCGGGCGTCTCAGAACATCTTGCCTCACACCCCCAAACTCTCCAACCCATCACCGTAAACACAAAAGGCCCTTAAATATGTGTCAAGGAGCAACATTCAAGCTGGACCCCAAACTCCCTTAAGACCCACACCTAAACCCGAAACCTAAGACTAAACCCTAAACCCTAAACCCCCTAAACCTCAAACCCTGGACCCTAAACTCAAGACACTAAAGACTAAACCCTACACCCCAAACAGCCTGAACCGTAGACCCCCAGCTTCCGGTCCGAGATGCCGGGGCATCTGAAGAGCAAGCGCTTGCTCAAAGGGCTCCTGACAGGTTTGGCTTTTGAGGTTCCTTTAAGGGTGCTATAGGGTTTAGGGTTTAGGGTTCTATCATAGGGTTCTATACTAGGGTTATAGGGTTGCCTTTCAGGGTACTGGAGGGTTCTATAATCGGGCCCCCCTTACTGGGATTACTGGGTTCCTAAGGCTTCCTATAAGGGTTGCTGCAAGCTCGAGGGTCTACTGTTGAGGGTCCTTCTCGAGATCGGCAAGTTGGGGTCGAGTGCTCCACGGGTCATCGATGCTGCAGGATGCCAGGACCGTTCACCTTCAATGTTGCAAGCTGCGGTAGTAGATGGGGGGGATCAGGAAGGAGGGAGGAGCGGAGGAGAGGGAACCCTAAACCTTAAACGGCACAGGTCAGAAATCAGTAGTAAGCATACTTGAACGTCCCTTTGCTGTCCCAAGAGGACTTCCAACAGCTACACTAAACATCAATCGTTGGATTGGGAGTTTGGGGGTTTTAGGGATGTTTAGGGCTTAGCTTTTAGGGTACCCCGTTCTCCGGAGAGTGCCTGAAAGAGTTCGTGTTGGCGTGTGCTTTTCGGCGTTCAACTTTCGAATGACTAGCTGCAGGATTGCGAGGATGGGGGAACCCGTCAAACGGCTAAATGACTTCTAATTACCCCTTGCTGCATCTGGAGCTCCTATACACAAAACTTCGAGAATACCCAGAATTACCTTGCTGCTTCCAAACACGACATCCATCATCATAACCCTACTGAAACACCGAAGCGTAAACCCAACATGTCGAAGCCGACCTACGCGGGCGAAGTGGCGCCAGCTGCTCTTAGCTGGAGGATCTGCTCTTTGACCTAAGATCCCAAGAAGTTGCTGGTTTCGGGCTGCGTGTTTGGGGTTTACGGATCAGGGCTGCAAAACAACTCCCAAAGCACAAGAAACATGTAGCTGACAGGAGCTTACGCTTCATGCAGACACTCACATAGAATTATAGGACTTATGTAAAGGCTACTAGCTCCTAACCCTGAGGTTTAAGGTTTCATTGCTTCAGAGGAGATTGCAACCTCCACATGTAAGGGCGCGGCAGGTTTAAGAGATTATTTTGTCTTTTGCTATACGGCATGCATTTAAACTTCATAACTTCCAGTCAATGTTTAGGACTATAGGCTCCCGCAATCCTAAAAGTCTAGGGTTCAGGGAGATTTCCAGAAAACCTTGCCTGTGCGATGCTGGTCTGGCCCCTCTAAACCCAGACCCCGCCTGGATAGAAAGTGAAAAGGAAGAAGCCTTCGACAATCATGCTTAACAGCTGATCGCCAAAGTAGGATGCACTAGACGCGACCTTGCCCATAGCGTCTCTAGGCGCTCCGGCCCGGCTACTCTTGCTGCCCTCCGCAGGATCCCAAGCCTGGTATGCTGCACGATTACGAAACTTGTGCTGCCCACTCACTATTTCATGACAAGCCCTAAAACCTGTCCCAAAACCCAGAACCTTTATGTAAATCACCGCTTAGAGTCGATGGTGTAGATTTCGGTGCTCCGTGGTGGCTGCGTCGGAAAGTTGTGACCTTCCGCGTGCGTCAGTACGAGCGGGTTCTCGTAGTATTCCTGGAATGGGGTGAGGGTTAGGGGTCCGGGTTTAGGGTTCCGGGTTCAGGGTTCAGGGTTCTCGAAGTATTTGTAACAGCATGTTCGGGCTTAGGGTTTAGGACGGTTTTTTGCTTCGGAAATTTATCGGCTTGTTTACGGCGTTGAAATTCAATAGCTTTACCGACAGCCGCAAAAAAAGCTGAGGCCCCGAATCGAAAGCCCTTGTCCTTTGGAACTTTATCTTGCTCGGGACCTTTCGACTTAATCCAAAACTAAAAGCCCTGCAATCGTGAGGCCCCATACACTTACGTGCGTTTACAGAACTTCGCAAAATTCCATGAAGACACGACGCTGCGAAAAGCGCACTCAAGACTGTTTTGTTTTATTCTGGCTCTCCACAGTCTCGCCGCATCAGGGTGTTGTCCCATCGTCTTGTTGCCGTCGTCGACCAGAGCCCTATTCTTCTCAGATTTGTCTAGGTTGAGACGCGCGCCGCACCGTGAGAACCCTACACCCTAAACCCTAAGCCGTTTAGGGTTTAGGGCTTCGACCTGGTAGCAACAGTTGATGCTATGAGCGTGGTGGGATGCAGGGTTGTTGCTTACCGGCCTCGAAGTTAAAATAAGAACCTCAAAATACCGGACCCGGCTTAGAGTTTAGGGTAGCGGGTTTGGGGTCTGGGAGTCGAGTCTAGCATTTTGGGAAAGGTTCAACTGTCATAAACCCCGCAATGCAAGATCAACACAACAGTGCCAGCCGTAATCTTGAAGCCTTGTGCCCCTATCACGAATGGTCCCTCAAACCTTTTCGAAACAAGCCTCATAAGACCTTATAAACCTGATAAAAAACCCTGTCAACACCCTCCAACCCCGGTACAAAACCCCATGAGCACCCGCGCAAAAGTCCTCCACGCGCTTCGTGGTGCAGCGACCCTCGCGTGCGTAGGCATAGTACGGCGATGTCCTCGGAGGGATCCGAAAAAACGCACATGAAGGTCATCTACCTACGGCAACAATGACAGCTGCTGCTGCTCCCTCTCTCTCTCCCTCTCTCGCTCTGCGACATGCCCAAGTCTGTCATCAGCAGCAACACAAAAGAACGCTCATTACCCAATCTTCTTCACCCCATTCCACGGTTAAAAGGTCGTTCGAACAGTCATGGTATCTGCGAAGCGTCTCTCCGAAGATGTGGATGCTGGGATGCTTCACTGGCGTCTCGAACAGCTCCGCAAATCTCTGATCGCGGATGTGCATGCCTCAAAAATGAAAAAAGCAAGTAAGTGAAACATGTGTGATCCAGGGTTACAGGGGAGTCTGCATAGCATACAGGTTCCATTCATCCAACCACCATCCTTCATTCAATGCAAGGTTCTGAAAACCATAAACAGTTTCTGGAGAAGATTATGCAGAAACCTCTGTTTGCAGGATCCGTGTCGTTGTGCTCAGCCCAAAACCCTAAATAACCCCGAAACCCTGCCTCAACAGCCAAAACGGAACCCCGAAAGCCGCAAACCCAAAGCTGCCGAGGCCTTCGAAGAACACAAGCAGTTTGCACGGCACCGGCAGTCCTGCACATGGGGTACAGAAATGGAGGATTCTCAGGTTTGGGGTCTTCAACATGAATTTGCAATGCTTTAACTTAGTTTTACAAGGGTTATAGCTGACACAAGTAGAACACAGCCATCACACTGCTGACAAGGCTTCATTATCCATAGCAGGGGCGAAGCCGTAATTTCCATAATAAGATAGAGCAGAGGATTCCCGTTGTGTGTATATGGCACCACCAGCCCCAAAAGAGAAAATACAATCTCAGGAATACGCCGAACACCCTAACAAGGTGCTCTTGGCCCAAAACGGGACTGGGAATCCTATGGAATTTGGCTTAGGGTTTGGGGTTGAGGGTAAAGCAAATGCTCTATCGACTCGAACGCTCCGATCATGTTGTAACTACAGTGTAGATATACTGCCTGTGTATTATGCCTACAGTTTGCTTATGTGGCTACACGTTTCAATCGCAGTAGCATGTCAGTGCTCAATATATACAGGTGTCATTTCTCTACATTTGTATCCCGCCTGGTACTTGAGCATTCAGAACACGCCAGGGTAAACTTAAGATAGCAATTAACATGTCTAACGATGCAGCATGACCGTTTGAAGCAACAAATGTCCTTGACTTGCTTACACCGATAACATGTCCTAGTAATGCTAGTGTCTAGTTCACCCATGCCGCAAAATCACCTAATATCTTATCTAGTCTTACTGGAAACAATACACAACTGTTCATAACATGATATTATAAGAACCTGCACTGTTTCTTGAAGACGTAACGAAACTGATTACGAATTATCATCACTTCCGAACTCTTATGGTTTGCTTAAGAACCTGTAGAGAATTATAAGGCACACGAGGGGTTCATTGGGCTCACTTCCTTCTTCCAGATTTGGGCGGTCTCGCTATACAACTATACGCTGGTGGCTTTCATTGCAACCCACGAGGGCCAAAGCCCTGAAGGGCTTCTCACTGTCAAGATAGGCTAGATTTTTTTAATCCGTCATATCTAAATTACTCGTCACTAAAATACATACTTACATATTTGTCTATCCTTTCAACGTCCCTCCTCCACTAATTCTAACCTCTCTTCTGGGGTAGGCTTTCTTGCTCCCCAGGAGGTGTACTATTATAATGATTACTAACTACTCCGACCCCTATGTCAAACCGGAAACTCACAGCCCTCAGCACTACACCCGAACTCCCTTATCTTAAAACCGTAACTTGAGTCCGAGGCCCTAGAGGCCCGAAAACGACACCCTGATAGAAAAGCAAAACAACGACTACAAACAGTGTACTGGAGGGTTTAGGGTTTGGGGTCAGAACTCGGTTTAGGGCTTAGGCACAGAGCCCCAAGAGCAACTGCCACAGAACCTTGCAAGCGAGGTGCCCTCTCGGCGCAGGTGCCCAACCAGGTAGTGGATCATGATGCAGCCTCGCAGCCCAAGGACCCGGAGGATCCGGAGAAGTAAGCAAGGTATGATAGAACGAGTTTACTACGGCTAATGACATAAATCCTGGTTTGCCCAGAGGAAGGTATATACCATAGTTCTTATGGCATTAAGGTCCTTAAGGTAATGCAGGACTTCTATCATCAACACTATGTGCTCTAGCTTGGGTTATCCTACCGTTAACTCCGTCTTCTACCTAATCTCTCAGCCCCGTAATCCGTTTCACTCAGGTCCTTCTGTTTCTTGTTCTCGATCAACGTGTTTGCGGCAAGCTACTGGGAGGAACACGTCTTGAGCCAAACTGAAGGGGAATCGCAAAAAGCCAAAAGGAGATTGCACACTCGAGTGATTCCTCGATTTCGCCATTGTCAGGTTGCACACCAACAAAAAAAGCAAGAAGGGGACGGGAAACCCTTGAAACTCTAAACCGAAAACCCTTAAAAGCTCTAAGCCGAAACGACCGAAACCAGAAGTCAGGACAACAGGATCAGGAAAGCGGAGCCAGAAAACTTGAGGGCCGCTGCCCTTAGACTTCAGGGGGTATCAGATATAATTCAGAAAGAAAGACTCCCATAGTAGTTCCTTTTGGGGATTACCTTATAGGATTCTAAATATGAACCCCAAACAGGAACTACTATGGGGCCTATGGGTAACCCAACGCAAGAAAACATGGGACTCAACCCAAACGTTCTTCAAACTCCGCATGCAGTAGACCTCCAGACACCTACATCCTAAACCGGGGACTTCGAGCTCGAAAACCAAATGGATCTTCAGCAAAGTAACTAGCTACATTATAAGCGGTCAAAAGCAGGATGATTAGCACAGGGAGCCCTGAATCCCCCATTGCGGAGCTGTATGCTTTAGGATTTAAGGATTAGGCTTTGGGAATCAAGGTACCCTCATTGCCTACAGCAGTAATGCAGGCCTCAACAGTTAGCCCGGGTCCGGTGGCTTCCAATCACACCGCATGTTTAAGTTATTCGAAAATACCAGGTGGACCTAAGAATAGCATTTCTAGTACATACACACATACACACGTACACACACATGCACACGTACACACATACACACATACACACATACACACATACACACATACACAAATACACACATAGACACATACATACGTACACACATACATACATACATACATACATACATACATACATACATACATACATACATACATTCATACATACATACATATATGTATATACACACACTTATTTCGAGCGAAAGAGGCCTTGCGAGAAGCCCAGCAGCACGTCGAAAGGACCCTCCTCACGAAGAGCTGACCACTCTGGGGCTGAAACAAACCTCCAGGGCTTGTGGCGTTGAGGGTTTAGAGTTATCTTGAACACTAAAAGCTAAACGTCAAACACTAGGTCCTAAAAAAACCCGCAACCCCTAAACCATGCCCAAAATTCTGGACAACACCCCAGAGTTCACATGTTGAACTAAACAAAAGAATAAAACACCTTCACGGGCTTAGGGCTGCCATCGGGTTCTGATAGCTGGTTGAAGCAGGGTTTAGGCTTGGGATTTCGGCTTTAGGTGGTCTTATTGTCGGTAGAAACAGCTTGAATACCTGTGTTGTGGCGCTCTTGGCACGAGACGAGTACGACCTCGACTGAGGTTCAGCGCAGTGGCAAGAGCAGCAGCAAGAGTCAATTTTGACAGCCACAGCAGCAATAACGGGGGGGGCAACCGTAGACGTGGCAACCTGGAAACCATCGAACCTGCATCATGTTCGATGTGAACGACCTTAAAACCTAAACCCTAAACCCGATACGCTCCAAAGGCCTAACTTCTAATCAAACCCTGAAGCCTTAAGCCTTCTCCAAGACCTAGAATAGGGTTCGGAGGTCCTCCTCCAGCCGCTTCCTCAGAAGAGCCACCTTCTCAGGAATCTCCACCTTCTCGGGGGGCTTTGCTTCGGGCGCCTTCGGATTCTCAGCTTGGGGATCGGGCTTCGGGGTGTGGGGCTGGAGCTTTCGGGACTCGGCCTCTAGGGCTTGGAGGTTGCTTTCGGGCTCTTTAGGGTTTAGGGTTTAGGGGTTTAGGGTTTAGGGTTTAGGGGTTTAGGGTTTAGGGTTTAGCCTCTACTTTGAGGTTGCTTTAGGGCTGTTGAGGGTTGGTTGAAGCTTGACGCCTCAGTGAGGCGGACTGACCTTCAACCCGTAGAGGGGTTTAGGGATTTGGGTTCAAGGTATCCCGGAAGGCCCGAACCCAACCGTAAACAAATCCAGGGCACAGATTCCACCACAACGGTGGGGTCGAACTGCTTCTCTAGGATCGGGCGGTCCTGTCGAAGAGCCAATCAATGTGCTAGGGGTGGTAACCTGCACCCTTGGGGCTTAGACTTTGATTGCTCTAGGTGTTTCTACAAGGTTTCATAAGGGCTAAGAAAGCCTTGGTTCTTTTACGGCGGTTTACACATGTCTTTGTAAAGGGTTTTGTGAGACATATAGTGTTTATATTGCTTACTGAGGAGATTGGTGAGAAGTTGAAGGCTTACATTGAGGTTCAGAACTGGCCCCACAATTCGAGGTTGAGATACTGCCCCCAACAGCCCGAAAGCCCTTGAACCGAAAGCGTGGAAGCCCCGAAGAGCTAAAGGCGTAAACAGCTGTAGGCCTGAAATGTGCACGGCCTGGAAGGCAGAAGGTCTCAGGGCTCCAGGACATGTAGAAGGTCTCAGGGCTCCCGAGAGCCCTACAAGACTCTTAGGGTTTAGGGCTTAGGGTCTAGGGTTTAGGGCTTAGGGTTTAGGGTTTAGGGTTTAGGGTTTGGGGTTTAGGGTTTAGAAAGACCTGTGGAAGCCTTGTAAGCCCTTGTCAAACCAAAAACACCGCGCGGCAACCTGAAGAGCATCTCGTCCTGCTTGCAGTGGTAGATGTCCTCATACCAGGATATCAACTGCTGGCCTGCAAGCAGTCACAGCGGCCCCTGTTCCGAACAGCCGGCCGAAAACCCAGAAGCTTCCAAAGAAGCGCAGCTACGATTGCGAGGATGACGATTGCGAGGATGACGATGAAGAATAAGAAGAAGCCGCGACACTGTTGAGGATCACGACGATGGCCGTGATAAGATGGCGACGACGACGACATTGTCGCGAAAAAGAACGCAACCAAAAACAAACACTACGACATGATCACGCTCATGTTCATGAGCATGATGATGCTGCTGCTGCAGCTGCTGCAGCTGCTGCTGCTGCGACGGCGTTGGTAGTGGCGGAAGTAGTGATGGTGGCGATGACGACGGCGATGATCATGGTGGTGGTGGCGGTGCTGGTGATGAGCGAGATGCCAAAAGTCGTGATGCTGTAGCTGAAGTTGGACGGTTGAGTAGGCAGGTCAGAGGAAACTGAGGACCATCGTCTGTCTGCTTCGCGCTTACGCAGGAGGATGCACATGAGTAGTTCTCTACATAAGGGTCCCCTTTTAGGTCCCCAAAACAGTACGGCACTCTTATAGAAAGGAACCTAAAAGGGACCCTAATTTACAAAACTACCCATGTACATAAAGCTGCGGCTTCGGCACGCTTGCCGGCCACGGTCCTCTCGAAGTCGCTCAGCTGCTCCTTCCATGGGTTTCTAAGCCTAATGTAATAGGGGCCTGAAGCGTTACCTATACTATTTTGGGGGTTCCTTATTATAGTTATAGTATAATGGGCCCAAGACCCGATTATAATTCTTAAGGCCCTTATAGTATACCAGACAGTCGTGGGAAACAAGAGTAGCCATCAGGATCTCCACAATCAAAGCACCAGCATCATGCCAAACACTACGAACATGATGTTCACGCCGCACCAATAACAGCTGCATCCACCGACAACTGCAACTGAAAACAAGTTTCGTGTGGACGAAACTTTATGATTTATGCCCACTCCCTTTGTTTGATCCTAAACCGAGAACCCAAACCCAAAGCTATGAACCCTAAGCCCCAAACCTCAAGCCACAAATCCCGCCCCCCGACCGCAGGTCTACTTCCCAAATCTAAGTGCCCATACCTGGAGAAAAGCCCTAAAGCCCTAAAACCCTTCAAACTCCCAACGGTTCGCTCCGATAGCTCCCAGGGATGGAAGACGGTGCCCTCGGCATAGGTCCACTCCACTGCATCCTCGAGGCAACGATTGAACGCTCAATAAATACATAAATATAAATACGAAAAATACAAAAAATACAAAAAATACATACATACATACATACACACACATGCATACATGCATGCATACATACATACATACATACATACATACATACATACATACATACATACATAAATATATATATATATATACATACATAAATATATATTATATATGTATCACGCCTGAATAAATAGACCAGGGATTTTGCAGGTGCTATGCCTGACATGTAGACCACGCTTTTGTGGTTTGTACATGAACTCTGCATATTGGGGAGATGTGGGAGTGGAGATGAAGCTGCAGAGCTGGGACCTGTTTACGAAACCCCTAGATCCCATTATTTTGGGCGAGTATCCATGCCAAGAACGCTAGCAAGAGACAGAAGCCGCTTATTCTGGTTCCTGCGCTTGACTTTAATGTTTCGAGCATGGGGCTCACAGCTTTTAGGGCCGGTTTCGAGTGCTGTGGCATTCCAGGGGCTTGGTGGACTCTCTCTGAGCTTTGCGCTGCCTTGCCGTAGAATGGAGATTGACTGGGTTCTTGTTAAGGGATTTAATTTAAGTTACCATAATAGGGATCTATAGTAAATAATATGGTTTCCTTATTATGGCAACTTAAATTAAATCCCTTAACAAGAACCCAGTTGAGACTAAACGGTTCAGCGGGCGTGACACATGGCTGGGAAGTAGACCCACAAGATTCTCAAAGGACAACCCCTTCCGTCTGTTCCTTTACTTTTAGGGTTTAGGGTTTAGGGTTTAGGGTTTAGGGTTTAGGGTTTAGGGTTTAGGGCTTAGCCCCGAATGAAGGCAGTCCAACTACGAATGCTGCAATGCAGAGGAATTCCGAGAAAGATGCAAACGGCTGTCAAGTGCAGCTTTCCGTCCAGTAGAGGCTTTCGGGTTGGGTTCAGGATTAGGATTTAGGCTATGGAGTTCCAGGCTCAGGGTGTGATCTGGTTTAGGCTTAGTAACACGCCGCGCCATGTATTGCTCAACACTCCACACGTCCCCCTAAACCCTAAATCCCACATCCCGTCTCCTTCCCGAGAAGCGCAGCAAGCTGGCCACATCTGCAGCACTTCGACAGGCAAACCAAGGTGAAACAACAGCTTCAGGCAAAAAAACCTAACCATAAACCCCAAACCCTAAGCCGTACACCTTCCTTTTGTGATTGGTTCGAGAATGACGACACTTCGCCCCTGATCTGACATCTTATTGTAAAGGTCATCATACGCGCACTGACTATGCGCAGACTGTAGGGGAAACACCCTCCCCGAATCCTCCAAAGGTTCCAACATAAAGGCTTTTTGGCTTCTTGCGGATTCCGGAACGCCTAAAATTGTGGAATTTTCGTGAGCTTTGACGATTTTGGGCTTCCCAAAAACCTCCAAAATTGCTCCAACCACAGCAATTCAACTGGATTCCCGCAAACGCCAACGGATACGAATGGACCTAAACGCACGAAATCACGACTGCCGGACCCTGGCTTGCAACAAAAACCGCGGAACGTCAGAACATGCCGTCGCTGAACCCCACAGGGATCACGTCTGAGAAACCCCGATCCACTGGAAATGCTGATCAGGGTTAAAGGCTTGAGCGTTTAGGATTTAGGGTCTACGGTTTAGGGCTTAGGGTTTCGCGTTTAAGGTTCAGGGTTTAGCATCTACCATGTAGGGCTTAGGCGTGGCTAGCCTGAACCCTGAACCCTAAACCCTAAACCCTAAACCCTAGACCCTAAACCCTAAACCGCTGAAGGGGCCTATAGGGTTTAGTGATAAAGGCCGATTCTTCGACGCAGAGCCGCCAAGAGGCTGGAACTTCAGAAGCTCCTTGCAGGTGATGCTGCCTGAGAATTGCTGGGTTCTTGTTAAGGGATTTAATTTAAGTTGCCATAATAAGGAAATATCTAAGAATAGTAGTAATAAGCATCATCATAATGATAATGGTTTGCTGGTATTGGGGGGTTTTTGGATCTAAAAGTCCCGGCGAAAGCCTAAAGGATAAGGCCATCTTGGCGTGCGGGTCTTGGGATTTGGGATCTTGGGCCATATCACTTTTGATGATAATCAAGAGGAGGAGCAGTAGGAGGAGGAAGGAAAAGGATGTAAGGAGCAACCACAGGAATGCGAGTATCAGTATCTGGTAGCAGCAGCCACGATAACTATGGCAGTCAATATAATGAGGGCAACTATGCTAGTAGCTACTTGTAAACCCACGTAAAGTAAAGTACCTTTCACTAAAACTAGGCTCGCGCTTCGTTCAGAGATTTTTCGGGATATCGAATTCGAGGCTTCCGGTGGTCTCAGGGGTCGGTTCAACCTTTTTGGCGGGTTGTTACGCCTCAAGGTTTAGGGTCCAGGGTTTAGAGGGTTTAGGATCTAAGGCTTCGGGCTTGAAGTTTTTTTGATCTTGGGTGTCCTCTAGGACGCAGGCTATGTTTACTCGGACGTGATGGGGTCTGAAACTGCCACTTCGACTTGCGTCGATGACTTGCCTGCCTGCCGTACTGGTCAATACGATAGCAAACACGAACAAAAACCAATAGTAACACCAAAAAAACACTGGTAAAAACCAAAAGCTCTAACAATAACAATAACAATAGCAAACACAAAAATGGAAATGACTGGGTGGGGTTTGCGTCATGGCACTCTGTTCATGCCCTCGCGCCTGCCAAAGCAAAGATGCGCAGCTTCCTGGACGTGGGCGCGGACGGCGCAGACCTCGCTGGGACAGTCCTTTCTGTAGGGTTCAAGGTTTACGGCACTGGTTTGGGTCTCGTTTCCTGCATCATGTGTTGGGACGCTTCTTCCCAAGGTATCAATGATGAACAGTATGCTTCTCACTATTGTCAGCATTCGTCCAAACGAGCACGTCCATTCTCTTCAGCCGAGGCACAATGGCGCGGCAGGCATTGCCGCCTGTCTGAACGTGACTGCACCCTCTCTTCGAACGAACCCAACAGCACGACAGGCTTCCCTGAAACGACCCGGAAGAGAAGGGTACGTGAACCCCTACAGCCCCCAACGCCCTTAAACCCCTAAACTCTACTCCAACAGCCCCAAACCCTTGAGCGTGGTTCAGATTCCAGTCTGTGTTGGGTTTGATGGTTCACAAGTGGTGTGAGGGGTTAGGGTCGGGGGCCTGGGACTTATTTCGGATGCCCGAATAATAGAACAGCCTGGACAATTCACGAGACTATTCCTCAAGGTTCCTGATTATCCATATACTAGAAGATAGCCCCAAACCCACTCTTATTCTTCAGGCCCCTTTTCTTACAAACAGCCTTGCGGTAATTACGGCTTGAAGTTTCGGGCTGAGACATCCAAGGCCAGCAAATACGGCAAGCACGGCCACCGGCACATACTATCTTGCACAGATGCGATCATTCGCTGCATTTTCAGGGTGCGTAAGTTCTGAAGACAGAAAACATCAGATGAGATTGCCGGCCTTGGATTGCAGAATATTGCAGATGTCAGGCCCCAAACTCACCAAAACCGGCTTGTGGCAAAAAAACATTGAAACAAGCTTCTTTCAAAAGAAACTGCTCCGGCAACTCCAAGCCACCAGACTGCAACCGCCCTACGGGCCCTGCTCAAGCCCAACCCCAACGCCCGGCACTGTTGAAGCCCAACCAAATACCAATTTACCAATACTATTCGGGAGGACTCCTGTGAAAAGTATCCAAGGTCCAGGGTCCAGGGGCACAGGCAGCACAGCACATACCGCAAAACCACATTCCCATCAGCTCATGTAGGGCCCCAAAAAAGCACATAAGCAAAAATTAGGATCCGGATATCCCATATACATCCTCTTATAATGAAGCCCAATAAGGTAGGGATATCCCTATAAAATGCTTATGCTTATGCCCTTTTTGGGGTTCCTCTCATGACCGCTATATCAAAATCGCCTTGAACTGTTGAGGCCTGGTGGGAGGCCGCCTTCTTCAGCAGCTCCTTCCCGGCGACCTGTGAGGAAGGTAAATCCGACACAAACAGTTCCGATTGCGATTTGGGGGTTTTTGAAAATAGGGGGTACCTTATTTTAAGGTCCTTATAATAAGGATCCTACTATTTAGGGTGCTATATTAGGGTCCCCTATTTTCGGAAACCCCCATTTGTGTGAGTTGGCAGAACTCCTCGGTTTTTCGGTACACGGCAACAGTAGCTGCTTGACCCGGTAACTCTGAACCCCAAACCCTCACCCGCCTCAACCCTAAACCCTCAACCCTGAACCGTCAACCCGAAACCCTAAACCCTTAACCCCAAACCCTGAACACTAAACCGTTGAAGCTGAGGTGATCTTCTCCAGGGTTTTTAGGGCTCAGGTTTCGCTTTCGAGGGTCAGGGGTTGAAGGTTGAGGACTTGAGGTTATAGGGCTTATGGGTTCTAGGGTTTATGGGGGTTTGGGGTTGAGGGCTTATGGAGTGCTAGGTGTTTGGATGTAGGGTCTGGGGTTGCGCAGCTTGTGCCTAATAGCTTTTGGGCATTTAAGAGTTTGGGGATAGTCGAGGCAAACGTTTGTAAATATGCACGAGCCGCAATACAAAGAAGGTTGGGGGACATCTGAAACTGTGCCTAAGCTATCTTGCGAAACTTATGGCGGGATTGCAATTGCTTGGCAATATTGTGTGCATGCTTCGGGCTCCTATCTTACTCGCCTTAAGAACCTAGCACGAACAGCAGAAACCTTGGCCAGAGCTTGACAATCTCGCCTCCGAGATACATAGCAATTACTGTTGCGCACGATCTAGCCCTAAACCCTAAACTGCTCACAACTAAGAAGTAATGTAGTTGTCCTCGTCTGCACGCGACTATTCACCCCAAGCCCTCAACAGATCCTGCAAACCCAAACGCCCCAAAGTGTCATCGCCACCAAAAGCTAAAGACATAAACGTACGTATATATCTGTTTGTTTGCTTAGCTGTTTCTCACCTTCCGCTTCAAAGAAATACCTCATGTGTGCATATATGCATGTACATACGTACGTACGCACGTAAGTAAGTACTTATGTATGTGTGTATGTACTTGAGTATGTACGTCTACGTATGTAGAGAGAGAGAGAGATGGAGAGAGAGAGAGAGAGAGACAGAGAGAGAGAGACTAAAGCCTCTAAGCAGAGCCAAAGCCTCAAACGCCCAGTGTGTGCCTGCAGGCTTACATAGCCTTCTTCTGGGCCGCTCCCGGTCAGCCGTGCGAAGTGGAGCCTTCCGTCTTTAGGCGGCTCCAGCTCCTTCGGCTCTAAGGCTTTTGTTATAGTGTTCTAGAAACAGGTGCCTAGAGTTTTGGGGCTCAGGGTTGTGGGATTCTTCTGTGGGGTTTAGGGTTTGGCGTTCTAGGGTTTTGTGTTTTGAAGGCTGTAAGGATGTTTCACAACAGCTAAACCCTCAATTCTTGAAGGAATCTAGATCGGGTCGAGGGTGTTTATGTGCAGGGTTAGGGTAAATTGCAACTGTAGGTGCCTTGTTGAATTCCGTGTCGAGTGCATCGTACTATGGCGACAAGCTGGAACAGCCTTTCTGTGGCAAGCTTTTCCAAACTCGCAACCGGAAATTTGGGCAGGTTTCTTCCTGAGCGTTTGGCTGCCAGGAAGCCACACGAATGGCCCGTTTTGGGTGCAAACCAGTGGCCACCAGGGTCAAGAGCTTGACGTTTGGGCACTTATGAAGGGGCCAATACTGGCTTCGGGAACGTGTTCCGGTGCGGGGACCGACGTGGGTGCTACGGTTCCCACGGTAGTGGGGAGACGGGCTGGCGTAACTTGGCGATCGACTGCGAAAGGCACAAGCGCCGCCCTCCCACAGCAGGCGGACGGCCTTTGCCTTGAGTTTAGGGATCGGGTTTAGGAGTTCAGAATTTGGCTGCAAGGCCCACGATCGCTTGGACTTTTTGCCCTAAGCCCCACAGCGTCAGCCCTCCCCTCCAACAAACCCACACTGGACCTACGTACACTTCAAAACCCCACAACCCAATCGACGAAGCTTACGTGGCTATCCTTCTTCTGACCAACATGGACTCTGACTACACTCCGAACCGGCCATTCAGGGTTTGGGTATCAATGGCTAAGGGTTCTTTGTGCTTGAAGTAGGGCTCTCGGGTTTAAAGCTTTGTCAGACGATGGGGACCCTAGCCATCCCGAAACATCCAAGGATGCCAAATGGTGCACAAGCTTAGGAGGTTTGGGACACTAGGCCTGAACCCCTAAAGCCTAAACCACTAAAACCCCTAAACCCCTAGAGCCCTGAACCCAAATCAGACCCCTGAACCCCCAGGCCGCCCCGGAGTTTTTCGTGACTCTGGTTCAGCCGTCCTGAAACCAAAATCCCGAACGCTAGGCTGAGGGCTTAGGGCCCGAAATCCAAAAAGCAAAACCCTCAAAACGCCTTAATGGAAACCTCATAGAATCCTGGAAGAACCCAAACAACAAGCTGTAGAATGTTTTTAAATGAGACCACGGTGTCCTTCACCCACGAACCGGTCCTCAGTTTGCGAGTGATGGATCCCGATGTAGGACATCACTCGCAGAGTGCAGAACCCCAAATGAAATCCCCAACCCTAAACCCTGAAC